GACTCCAGCACAGAGCAGGTGCTTGGTGCTAGTCGGTGAGCTTCTATTTTCTTGACCTGCAACAGGAGAGCAAGGGCTGGGCCCGTCCCACTAATACCAGGCAAGTGCTGTCACTGCTGAGCTGACGCTAGGCTGCTTGGGGTAGGTGCTCTTGACTTGTGGGGCTGTGCAAAAAACAGTGCTGCTTAACATGGAGTTTCAGCTGCCAGCATCATCAGGGCCTGGCTCCCAGTTAGGTGAGGAAAGGGTTGAGGCAAACACTGCTGCTGGCTCACCTGTCTTAGGGGGGCCGGGGGTCAGACTTGCTCATGCTCACTAATGGCAGAAGAAAGCTGTGGAGAGCTGGTGTCTGAACTGCCTGTGTGTGGCCCTGCAGGGGGGTTGGAGTCCTTCCACTACACCAACCAGGGGCAGTGCATGCGCATCGGTGGCACAGATGATGCTGCTGACCTGGACAGGACACGAAACGCCTTCTCCCTGCTGGGTACGTCTCCACTCGTTTACTCTCGTGCTGGGCAGTCCCTGGCTTTGTCCTTACTTTGTTGGTAGTACCCTGCTTGGTACCCACTTGCTGTGTGGAGGTGATGCACATGCTTCATAGCTGTCCAGTCTGCTTTGACTTGGGTGGGGGGGCTCCATCCTTCTGCCCATTTGAGCCTCAGTCTTTCCAAGGTTAAACAAGGTGGTGGCAGGTTGCTATAACTCCAGGCTACCAGCTCCACTTGCCTGCTTTCAGCCCTGTAGCACTGCAGCAAAGCGAGAGCTTGTGGAACTGAAGTTAAGGACCTAGCACAGACCTAGACCCCCAGTTGTACCCGGGCGGGGGAGTGCTTGTACCTAATTTGGGTTCAGTCACTTGGCCAAAGTCTCATAACAGGCTTGTCTGGAAACTTTGGCTAACTGCCTGCCAGGACTGTGCTCACCTGTCAGTGCTTTGCTAACAGCACGCAGAAGCTGGCTAGCTCATGCCCATTTCAAGGTTGATATTGGAGGCTGGACACCTGAGGCTGAGCAAAGGGCAGCCCACTGTAACAGTGCAGTGAGCAAGGTGTGAGAATTAGCCCATATAATTCCTGCACAGAGCAGCTGGGCTTAAATTGGGTTTGGTATCTCTATTAGCAAAGTCAATGAGACTCAACCAATTGCTAGAGCTGTTAGCCTGGTGTAAATAGCTGCCTGCATTACCTGGGGTGGGTCTTATTTGTCTTATGCTGGGCCTGCAGACTGGACTAAAGTCCATAAACTGTCAGATCCTATGCACCCAGTTCATTAGGGTTCCTACCTTCAGGCACCCAAGTGTGATTAGACTTTGACCTCCTTTGTACAACTCCTCCTCCTGGTACATCCCAGGCTATGCCCGAGAAGGGCTGCATGGCAGTGACCTGAGGCTTGGAGATGCTTTCCTGCCTGCTAGGGGTGTGACTGCAGCAGTGAAATGTATGCTTGGTAGTTATGGAGCTTGCAGGGGTCTGCAGTTGTGGTAGAGAACACGTTTGACCCCAGACTTACACAGTAAAACACCCTGTCTGTGCTCCTCAGGGGTCTCTGAAGCTGACCAGCTGGAGCTGTTCAGCATCCTGGCTGCCATCCTGCACCTGGGCAACATCAGACTGAAAAAGAAGTCCCGGCATGCTGAGAGCTGCTTCATTGAGGTGAGCAGGAGCCTCCCCCATCCTGGACTGTTTGCACGCGTGTGTGTGTGTGGGGGGGGGACACCTGTTTTTACCCCTGGATGGGGGAGGTGGCATCATTGTGGGCTGCCATTTGGTACTCTGTATACAGAGTTGGTTGCAGCAACTGCTGGGTAGGGGGCTCTTTGAAGGAAAGGTGGGGGCTGTGCACTTCCTTTGACAAGAGTGGCTGTCTGGTGATAGAGCTTGGGTGCACCAGATCCCCTGATGCTCTCCTAGTGCTAGCTGGGAGAAGAGGATATGCACTGAATGGGCCCTCATGCCCCAGACATCCTCCAACCTGCAGTGAAACCCACCCATGCAGAGGGTGATGCAAGACCTCCCTGTCTCCCTATAGCCAGAGGACAAAGCCCTGGAGCTGTTCTGCATGCTGTTGGGGCTGGAGACATCGCAGGTGTCACGCTGGCTATGCTACCACAAGCTTGTCACAGCTAGTGAGACCTTTGTGAAGCCCATGTCCTGGCAGCAGGTGCTGGACTCCCGTGACGCCCTTGCCAAACACATCTACGGGCAGCTCTTCCATTGGGTTGTGAGTCGCATCAACAGGTCTCTGTGGGCATCTGAGAAGCCTCGTGCCTCCATCGGCATCCTGGACATCTACGGGTAGGGATGAGGCTGGTGGGGCAGGCTACCTCCTAGGCTCTAGCTCCTGTGTGAAGTGGGGTGCAGCCAAGCCCCTGGGTGCAGGAGCAAGGCAGGTGCTTTTGGGTAGCCCTTGCTGATTTCTAAACAAGGATGGGGTCTAATTCAAGGGGCTCTGGCCACTGCCTCACAGCAGTGCACTAGGCTGAAGCTGCAGTCTGAGCTGGGGAGGAGGAAGACTTGGCCAGTGGGAAGCCATTCCTAAATCCCACCTCACTCAAGCTGGTGCCTGTGGTGAGCACTTGGCTGCCCTGGGCTGGGAAGGCAGCAGTGCTGGCATGCATAGCCTCCTCTGGATAGCAACCCCCCAGGGGTCATGGGGGCACTACTGAGGCTATGGGGTAGGGGACAGGTCTTGGGGTCTTGCCCTGTGCTCCTCCACCCATCCTTCTGCTCTAGCCCCTGAAGCCAGTCCCTCACTGCACCTCCCCTGCCACTTCCTTCTCAGGTTTGAGACTTTCAAGGTCAACAGCTTTGAGCAGTTCTGCATCAACTATGCCAACGAGAAGCTCCAGCAGCACTTCAACCTGGTGAGTGTCACCCCACGGCCTTGGGCATCCGGGCCTTTCCAGGACATCCTCTTCACCCTGGGTACTGTCCTGCCTTGCTGTCCTGCTCCAAATAAAGTCCCTGCAGTCCTACTGGGGGGAAGCATTACCTGAAGGCCAGACAGCTGTCAGCCTACTACTTGCTGGGTCCACAGCTGTAATGCCCCCAGTCCCACTCCTGGATTTTTACGGCTGTAGTGTTGAGGCAGCCTCCATTGTAAAATGCTCTTAAGTGGTCTCCCTTGGACCGGTCTCTTGAGCATGCTTTGGCTCATGAGGCCCCTGCTTATTTAGGGGGCAGAGATGAATAGCACTAGGGGAGGAGGGGTCTGCATCCATGTCACAGGGTCTTGCCGTGCTCTTCCTAGCCCTGGGGGTCTCTGCCTTTTGGAACATGGGCAATGAGATTTTTCTGCATCGTCTCCTGGTGGAAGGTGGCCTGCAGCTGGTCCAGTAGGACAGGTGCTGGCTGGCTGTGAAGGCGGGGAGTTGCCAAAGCGCAGTGCACAGGGGATGCGGAAGGCTTTAGAAGCACTCTTTGCTGTGCAAGAAGGACTGATCCCCAACTTTTGGACCAAAGCAGTGTCTACCTGGAACATGGGGCCAAATCTCTTGCGTGGGTATAACCACAGCTCCCTGAATCCTGGTCTTGCAATGGTATCGGGCCACAGGGCAGAGAGGCTCCTTATCCTGTGTGGCTTGCCTCTCCCAGCTGAGCCTGGCAGCACAACCTCTTGGGGCTAAGCACTGGCCACCTGGCTGGTCGGATCTATAAAGGCTGAGGTGGCCAGTGCTTCCTTCTGGCACTTAACGCAGGTGGCCTCAGGAGAGGGGTGCTGCAGGCATGTCCCTGCCTTCATACAAGTGATCACCCCCTTCCTTCCTTCCTGCAGCATGTCTTTAAGCTGGAGCAGGAGGAGTATGTGGAGGAAGGGATCCCTTGGACCTTCATCGACTTCTGTGACAACCAGCCGTGTCTTGACCTCATTGAGGCCAAGCTCGGCATCCTGGACCTGCTGAATGAGGAGTGCAAGGTGAGTTGCAGCCCTGCCCCTCCCTAAGGAACCCCTTCCTGCCTATTTTGGAGACTGCTCAAGTTGGCAACAGATCCCTTGCAGCAAAGGGGCCCTCTAGTCCTAGGCCCACAGGTGGCTTTAGGCAAAGCAGCTTGAAGCAGATGCTCCTCAGGCAAGCCATGGTGTCCATGTTCTCCCCCTGTGCTGTGGGAGGGGGCCTGGGGCATGGCTCTTGGCTAGTAGGGCCAGCCCTGCCTTGGCTGCTGGGGGCCCTCTGATGAGCTTGGCTCAAGTTTAGCTGCTTGTGCCCACTACTTTTGGTGTCCAGCTGGGCAGAACCAGAGCTGAGGGCTCTTCCAGGATAGTCTAGAGGCTGCCTTCAGCTTGCTAGGAGGATGGGGATAGGAAGGGGAAGCTGCCCTCTTCTCTCTGCTGTGCCAGGCTTCTGCTCAGCCTGGGCCAGGGCCTGACCAACCTGCAACACCAAGCTTCTGGTCAGCTGCCCTGGTGCAAGACTCAGTCTGCCCTGCCTCCTGGCGAGGGGTGCTACAGGGATTGGAGTGGGCATCTGCTGACATAGGCAGTGGGTGGGGTGAGGGGCCAGACTGGCTGCCTTTTTGCAAGGGCATTGCCAACAGGGAATTCCCAATTATTTTTCTCCCCACTGGAGAGTTACTTGATGCTAGGTGCCAGGTGGCCATAAAAATAGGACCAAGACATGGCAGGGGGTGGGGCTCAGCTGGCAGAGTCCCCAGGCTGCTTGCTGTCTGACCCCTGCCCCACCACCTCTCACAGATGCCCAATGGCAGCGATGGGAGCTGGGCTCAGAAACTCTATGACCAGCACTTCCACCACAGCCTGCACTTTGAGAAGCCCAAGATGCATGCAGATGCCTTCATCATACAACACTTTGCTGGCAAGGTAGAAAGGGTTCTTGGGGCCGCTGGGTGGTGGTAAAAGGCAGTGTGATGCCCTGCCCTCTCTAGCCAGTGTTGCCATAAAATGTCTTAGTCCTTCCTGAAAGGTCTTACTTCTGAACAGCAGCTGGTGTCAAAGCAGGGCCCTATGGCTGTCTGCACAGCCAGTGCTGCCAGCCACACAGTGTTGGTCTGGTTGGGTATCTGCTCTGTGGCAGGGCAGCAGGGAGTCCAGCTGCCCCTGGAGCACCCTTTTTCCCCCTTTGCTGTTTCTGAGTAGAAGTGGAGCTGCCCAAATGCCTGGAGGCTGCTGGGAGCAAGCAGGGCCCCTCTGCATTGTTCCCTGCAGGTGGAGTATCAGTGCAAAGGGTTTCTGGAGAAGAACAGAGATGCTGTCCATGCAGAGCTGATCGGGCTGCTTCGAGCCAGCAAGGTGCCTCCTTGGACTCCTACGGGGAGGGGGGTGGTAGTGCAGTCCCTGCGTGGAGAGAGGTGGTGCAGAACGGTAACAGGTTTCATAAGGGTCACTGGGGGGCAGTGCTGGAAACAATGTGCCCTGGCAGGCTCTGCAACAGCCCTCCCACCCCTTGCTGGGTAACCTTAGCTGTGGGGCATGCTACTCCAAGGCATCTGCCAACAGTGCTGATCCCTTCCTTGAGTGCCCGTGACAAGGCAGACCCAAGGGTTTTGGGGTTTGGCAGGGGCACTTGGTGGCATGCAGTGGGTCACCCTCTCCAGGCAAGGGCTGCCCCCACCCCTCTGCTGGGGATGGGGTTGGAGCTCAGGTGCAAATGCCACAGGCTGAGAACTGGTGTCTGAGGGAGGCTGACTTGCCTCCCCTCATCCTGCCCATATCCTCCGTGTCCTGAGTCGCGGCCCACTTGATGCTGCTGCAAGCTGGCAGGGCAGAGCTGCAGGCGCCTCTTGGACATGGAGCGAAGCCGGGCCAGGTCATGAACTGCAGGCTGTGCTCCACCAGGGGGCGCCAGGCCCCCACTTTTTTTTTCCCCCTGCATGATCCATGCTTGGCGCTACCTATAGAAACTGCCCAGCCCAAAGGCGCCAGAGCGAGTCGTGCTGCCCTCAGCTACAGCCAGAGGCTCCAGGGCTGGTGAGGATGCTGTTCTGTCTGGAAGCCATCTCAGTGCTCTCCGAATCCATCTGCCCTCCTTGGGGCCGTGGTGCTGGGGGCACTGGCAGCAGGGGCCCTGCTGAGAGGTGAACGATGCTGTTCTTTACTCCCCCCTCCCCTTCTCACCACTGGCTGGAAGCTGTGGCATGTCAGTGGTGCTGGGGGAAGGGGTTCATGTGGCCCCTTCTGGGCCCAGGCCTCATGGGGAGGAGGGGATGGCTTTTGGGGGTAACTCATAGTGCTTTGTGTGCACTCCTACCCTCTGCTTTTTCAGTGCCCATGGGCTCTGAATGCTGCTGTTCCTAGTGGGGCTCAGTTGCTGCCTTGCTGGTTTTTTTTTTTTTTTTTTTTTTT